GATTCCTCTGCCATGTGCAAGCACACCTTTTTCCATCTCTGCTTTTTTTTTACCTCTTCCTTTGTATTCTGGGAATACCTGATGCTGAAAATTAAAAATAGTGACACTGTCTTGTCAGACACTGATGTAGCTTTCAGCAACTAGTCTTTATTTGGGTGCCGAAGTTGACAAATTGCAATGCCTAACCCACTTTTTGACCAACCCCCCCACTGCTTCAGATGCTTAAACCATCTCCACATTTGCACTATTACAGGAAAAAAACAAAACATGCTCAATAAAAGTGCACACACATGCACACACTGTGTTTTTCTTCACAATCTCCTGCTGCTGAAATGTATTTTGGTTATTCTGCTCTGTGGTCAGTAAAAATCAAGAGAGATTTGTACATAAATGAGGAGCATTACAGCACCAGTGTGATAGAGTCGTGCACTGCATTGATCCGGAAAGAATGCTTGCCATTCACACATATACAACAGAAAAGTTGTGTGAATACCCCATGATTAGTTTGATTAGCATAAATTATTAAATGCTGTGCTTTATTATCCATGTCCCCGATGTCTTCCAGATATAGAAAATCCTCATTGTGTTTCAGCTTCTGATTATAATTCACGAGCAGACATGTGGTAATGTGAAAATAGAGTGGAAAGCCACAAGCAACTATACTTAAATGATTAAATAAATACAGAGATAACTTTTTTTAAATGAGCCTGTATCTCACGTATGATAAACTCCATCAGCGTTCGTACAAAAGCCTTTTTAATCAGACACATTTGTCCTTCGTGCAGGATGTGTTTGGATGATGTGACTCCTGTATGTGCGTTTGTTTCTCTGATGGAAGGAGATGTGTGCCTTTGTTTTCTGTGGCTCTTTTTCGCTGTGGCCTGCCCATATGCTTCCTATTACAAAACCCAAAATGCTCAGTCCAGGCCAGGATATAGCTTAGCTTCCAATAAGTAATATTATCACTTAATGCCTTCCACATGGATTCATGTGTTTGTTTTTTGTGTCTCTCTCTTCTCCAGAATTCCACTCTGACCATCGAAGAATTTCACTCCAAGCTGCAAGAAGCCACCAACTTCCCTCTGCGACCTTTTGTCATACCCTTTCTGAAGGTAGAGGCATTTCAGTACACATTTACAACAAGAAGGTTGCCCGCCTGTTTGTTTGATCAATGAAATCTGGAAAGCATTTAGCCGGCACAGATTCCAGATGTGCATACTTATGTTCACGATATTTATCCCTGTTGTTGCTCTTTTTTTCTTTTCTTTCTTTTTTGAGTCTCTCTTCTTTTTTGCACTTTTATCCCGTCTTTCATCCATCCCTCACTTGTTTATTTCTTGCTTCTTACTCACTTTCTCTGCTGTTGACGAGAAGCTTTCAGGGTTTTCTTCTTTTCTTTTGCTCAGTCTGTCTATATAGTGCAAAACGCTGACACAAGGCAGAATTTTTTCTTATAAGAGTGTTTGGATGGAAAGAATTTGTTGTTTTTTAAAGATAAACACAGTGAATATACTGAAGCAGAATGACTGTGGTTTTATCCCCAAGGACAACGTATCTGTTTATGTCCTCCTTATCTTCATATTGGTCTTTGGCTTGTTTTTGTCATTATTTCCCGTATTCCCAGTAAGCTGCATTTCAACCATTAGCATGGTATGTTACTAGAGGAAAGAACACTTTCTTAAGCATCTGTGCCCTTCCCTCAGTCACAACAGCATATCTCTCATATCTATCACACTGTGGAAGATAAAAGTGAAGGAGATGAAGTTATTTCTATTTGTGTCCACAAAGGGAATAATGTTTATTTAATGTGTGGTTTGTGTGAGATAGGTGCATGTAGTGCTTTTTGGTGCATATTCTGAAGGCTAAACTAGGGGCTGGGACTGGGGGCAGTAGCGTGATTTGTTATGATAGTCACGGATGACAAATGGGACTGAGGTTTATACTGAGCAGCAGAAGGTTAGACCATGTAATGGGTCCAGGTGAAGTGGAGATCAATATCAGTGAGCTACTGAAAGATGGAGAGCAGTGACGGGCGTAAAATTTAACGCATCACTCATTTTTTATTCTTTTGCACACCTCTGTAAAGGTAAAAAGCTCCTTTTTTTTCCTGTTTTCTTCTCCGGTCTTCTTCTTGATTTGCATCAGTCTTTCTTCACTTTTTATGGACTCTCTGCTATTTGTAACTGAGCAATCTGGGAACCCATCCGCTATTGTCTGATGACTAATCTCTGGGGACAATGGTGAATATTTCAGTGCTTCCAATGTAGCCAGCGGATATCCGGATCAAAACTTCCCGTCTGGGCATTGTTTATGAATGCAAATCAGGTTTTTTTATTTAGTTTTTTTTAAAAGCAAATAAAAAACTAAATCATCATCAGACCATAGGTTGTGCTACCAAAAATCTGGTAATTTCTCTACAGATTCTGCCTTATAAAGGTTAGAATTATCTAAAAAAAAGAAAAAAAAACCTTGAATTAATAGAGATTCTGAGTGACAGATGGGTAAATGTTACTTTCGAAAACACAGGCGGCATCTTTTCCCAACACAATATCCTCTCACTTTACATGGTGCACTCACATCTGCATTTGCAGATGTGTGCATGTGTCAACTGACATTCACAAGTTTATGTTATCCACCAAGGGCCAGCGTGGTTATGGGCAGCAGAAATTGGTCCCACTAGAACTGCCATTACTCTTTGTTAACGATACAAACAGGAGCTTTGTATCCACCCCCTCTCTTTCCTACATCGCTCCCTTGCCCTTAAGTTTTCTTCATTTTCTTTCGCTTCTTGTGAAAGATTTTTTTTCTCCCTCTGCCTCCTTCTGTCCTTATCCCTTTCGTTTCTCTGTTTATCTACTGTTCTCTATCCATCCATCCTCCAGTCCCTCCTTCCCTTTTCTTCTCCTCGCCAGATGGTTATTGTATCACTGGGATGGCTGCGGAATCAAAGATGCAACTCTCTTTTTTTTTTTCCTCCATCGCTCCTTCTCAGCCCCTCTCTTTCTCCCCAGTCTAATTTTAGTGTCTTCCCACTGCGGGGCCTTTAATGCCAGCTACCATATGGTAGCAGAGAGCAACTGGAGGTGTGGGGGAGCTTTTATAGGTGCGTCGAAGCACAGCTGCAACAATGCATGTCAGGGCTCAAGGTTTTTCATTACGCTAATGTTATACCGAGTCAATCCCACCAACTACCCACCCCCTCTCAAATTCACTCAACTCTTTTTTCCTTTTCTCTTAATGCTAAACCGCAAATTGGTTGGGATTCTTTACTGGAAGGAGGCAATCATAAACCACACAATGGCTGTGACGTGATGTGCTGGCGAGATGCGGGCCACACGATTCTTAAAAGATATGAATGCGTCTCAGCCTTCCACTTAAAGTTGTGCCATTTTTTTAAAGTTCACTCTTTGTTAGTTTTAGTTTTTCTTGCGTCAGATTCAAGTGTGAGTAGTGCTGCGAGACGGTGGAATAAACACATACAGCTGTGTGTGTGTGTGTGTGCGTGTGTGTGTATGAGAGAGAAGGAGAAGGAGAGAGTCTTTTGCAATAGGAAATAATTGAAATAGGGCAAAATAGACATGCAAAAAACGAAGTCACCTTTCTCTTCCAACTGCAAATTATACAGAGAGAACAGAAAGTTGATGAAGTGCAGCACATCCTAAATGTGGCATATTCTGAATTGTTTTTTGGCACCGTTTGACAAAATGCCAAAAGCAGTATTTGAACAATAAATCACCCCAAGTAGAATTTAGCTGTGGCTGCTGAACATTACTTGAAATGTGCCTTTTTTGGTACAAGTGCAGATGTTGGTTAACATAAGTATGCGGAAGCAAATTGCCGCACTTTATCATATGAAAAATGATCCAGTCTCTTCACTGGTCTGCATTTCTTGACTCAGTCTTTTTGTTAATGTATTCCACATCTCCTCTGGCAATTAGGATGACCTCTAATTAATATAAGATGAGTTCACCAGGGTCAAAGCAATTTATTTTATGCTCTCTCTCTTTTTTTTTTTCCTTTTTCCAGAGGGTAATTATGATCATAAACTATTAACGGACCATTAACTCGGGCAGGTAAAGCGAAGGCCAGCGGCTGGCATTTCTCTTACTGCAGCCAATTACTAGAGAGAGATTTTCATGTGATTACAACATTAATACTACTAAACAAAACATGGCCCAGTTCAGGTAGTGTTACATCTGTGTGCAGCTGCAGGAAACAGAAGAACAAAGGAGTGAAGACTGTGAGGAAGATTACAGCAAAAAAAAACAAAAAGGAAAGGAACCACAAAAGAAGCAGGAGACTTGCGAGAGAGATTATGATAGTGAGGACAAAGCAAAGATTAACGGACCTAAAACTTGCAAAGATGGCCTCTCCAAAGGCTCTTGTGATGTGCCTCGCCAAAATAGCCCCCACTCTCATTCTAAGCCTGCTTGACGCAACACTTTCATCTTCTTGCCTCATAATGCACGCCATCAGATGTCTTTGAAGTCGATGTTCGCATACCTGCATGGCCCCGTAACTCCACACAAGAAAGTAGACCCCCTTGTTACAGTATGCCACAGAGTTTGAAAATAGCTGCTGTGTTTTTTAAAATTTTATGCCACAGAGAGACTATGCCGCTAATGCACTCTGGGTCCCAGAAAGCTGCGGTGGTTCAGGAATAATGAGCAAAGTGGGGTGAGATGGTATGGGAGACATGGATCTCTTCTTACAATAAAGTGGTATTTGGAATAAAAATCTTATAAGACATTGGCTTTTATGTGTGATTCAGTTCTTTGTGTGGGATGGTAACATGTCGGGTGTTAGGACTGTGTGTTGTCTACATTTCCTGAGCATTAATATGATTACATTTACCTTTGTTACAACGTAAAGCACTCAGAGCAGAGCATAGTGTTGCTATAAGTCATAAGTGCCACTTTTATTACTTTTAGTACATTTTTATCACTTTTTGCACCTCCAAAGTTTCAATATTGTGTTTCAGAGATAAGAAGTTTTAGTAAACAGTAACCAGCTCACAGTCTGAATGATTGTTCACCAAAGGAGACTTACCTGAAAATGTCTTTATATATGTTGTGAGGCTGAAAGGCACGCACTGCTCACATTCTTGTACCTCCTTTGAGCTCTCAGGAAACAGTCATCAGCATTCTTGTGAATTTCCCGTAATAATCAAGTGTTGTTTCCTCCCGCAGGCCAACCTGCCGCTCCTTCAGAGGGAGCTGCTGCACTGTGCCAGGCTGGCCAAGCAGAACCCGGCTCAGTACCTGGCCCAGCATGAGCAGCTACTCCTGGACACCAGCACCACCTCCCCAGTAGACTCCTCAGAGCTCTTGCTGGATGTGAATGAGAACGGCAAAAGGAGGACACCAGACAGGTGGGTGACTCATAAAACCAGAACATCACTCTCAAATGTTACTATTTCATCATTTTAAGTGTTTAATAAATCTTGATTTGGGTTGGAATTCTTAGAGGATAGCTGGAATTTGTGGGTAGAGCTTATACATTTACCAGCTCCTGGGGTGAAACTTTTTTTTACCCTCTATTGTTTGAGCTCATGCATAAATCCCTTTGAGGATGCCTGCATCCCCATGAGCCCCTGCATTACTCCACAGACACAAGCTGAGCCAACGCAAGGCAATAGTGTCATGTGCAAATGTATGTACGGGAAGCGTCTGCCAGTGCGCCACCGGGCCTCATGATGTGCTCCGTTGGACAGCTCAGCTCCTGGCTTCTGCTCTTAATGGGCCAGAACTGAGGAGAACACGAGATGGGAAAAGTAGACCTGGCTACACCCAGGCACGCATACGCAGGGAAAAAAGACGGAAGACAGCTGTGCCGTAATGAAAAGCATGAATAGATGTGTCACTGAATGTGTATGAAGCCCTCCGATTTGTGTGTTTTTGATTCCAAACTTATAAAGTTATTTCCACGCTTGCTCGGGTGTGTAAGTACAAAGTGTGTGCCTGTGTTTGTACGAGTCTCCACATCACTTCAACTCCCCCCACCCGAGCCAAATCATTACATCCGTTTGCTGTCACGGACTTTGGTAATGACTCAATGTTCCTTGCTCTAATGGACAAGCACTGAGACGTTCCATCCAGAAACACACAGCGCTGTAAAAAAAAAAGGGAAAAAAAAGCTATCTTCCTCTCTGTCTGGCACAGAAAAAATCTATCCAGACCAATGGTGTGTGTAAGTGCATGTTCAAGAATGTAGCTCATTTGCTGCCCCAGTAAAACAAATTTGAGGTGATAGAGCTGTGATATGAACAAACCATAAGATCAGACTATAAATCTAGAGTTTGGCTTTACACTCTTCTCTAATCAGAATAATAACAGAGGCTAACAAGCCTGCAGCAAAGTCTATTAGACATGCACAGACCCATACAGAACTGTTTTTTTGCACTGGCGTTTGTGAACATATCTGATCTGTTGTGGGAGCTGCAGACTACAATGTATGTATTGTTTTGTGAAATAAAGTCCCCGGGGGTCAGAATTTTTAATACAGGCAGGGGAGACGGAAATGTACATTTTATATTTGCTGAGGGACAAAAATGCTGAATGTGATATTAATAATTCTCACCTCTCTTTTCCCCAAACACTCGGATATGCAGAC